AACTAAAAACTTATATTGCTTTGTAGCATCTGGCAAGAAGATAGTGCTGGAGTACAAAAGTTTGAATTTTTTAGGATACAATTGAACTAATTTATATTTACTTAATTTTAGTTCTATGAAAACAAACATTGAACTTATATTAATTTTGGACTGCTTCTAGAATATACATAGATTTTTCTCTGCCTCTGAGAAAAATAGAAAAGGTGAAGATTTTCCACAGTCACACATCTGTAAATGAAGACAGTGCTCTGAAACCAATTCCTTACAACAGTTAAACACAACCCATCAAAAATACAGATGTGGAAAACACCTATGAAGTTAGAAGAAACACAATCTAACATTCTTTCAATGGTTTGATTTGTTTTGAATTCCACGCATAGCTACATGATGGCTATCTGCAATAGCCATCCCTAATTTAGCAGTGAAACACTAGAGGGAAGGCAGTTATTCACCACCATCCACCACCAACTCTTGGGCTACTCTTTTACCAATGAACAGAGGGATTGACCTTCACATTATAATACTCCCATAGCTGAAAAAGCAAGCATGTTTGGTGGGACAGGGATTTAAACTCATGATCCACAGACTGCGAGTCGAATGCCCTAACCACCTGGCCATACCACGCCAGTCTTTCAGTGACCTTCTCTCAACTTAATAACAGAAAACTAGGTGTAATTAATGTAAATTTTTACAAGCAAATAAAGATATCAGTTTAATTTAAGTAACATTAAGTTTCACCTACCTATGTAGTGCAACATCCAGCTGATAAACAAGTCCCTGTAGAGTTACTTGATGAGAACTGTTCAATGGAAAATGCTTATTTGCAGTGAAAATAGTAATTGCTGCTCCTGTGCTATCTCTTGTTGGCTAGAAGACAGTACACGCACCGTTAAAATTAAACAAACTTGTATCTAGTAATATGTTGAGTGTAAAGTACTATTTATTGACATTTTTCAACTGAATCTCTATATCTACACAATTTTCTTAGATTGTTCAATATTTTTCAGTTGAAGAGAATAAACACTTTGTATTTATTAGTTTTAGGACTTTGTACTTCAAATTTCAAGATATTTTTAAAAAGTTCATTTAGATGGTAAACTTTTAGTTTTCAAGATTTCTTATGGCAAAATAATTGATTTTAACCCTCAAGTTACTTACTTGATTTCCTATTATTAACTACCAGTGGAGTTCACACATTACATCATTTACTCACTCATTTTCTGTGTAAAATATATATAGTGAACCCAAGCAGTAATTAATGGGCTAACTCGTAATGTTTACTGTATTTTTGCTTGAATTATTTTGTGCAACTCGTACATTATTTGGGGGTCCTGTATCAAACAGTTATGTTTTTTTGTTTTTTTTTCACATATTCATCCAAAGTTACTCAAGAACTATTTGTGCTAGCCATTCTAAATTTTGAATTGATAGACTAAAGGGAGGCAGCTAGTCAACAACACTCACAGTCACATCTGTGGTTACTCTTGTCTAACAGAATAATGGAATATTAGCACCATTCTTATAATGCAAATGTCTCCAAATTGTGGAATAATGGGAACTAAATGATGGATCCATAGATTTCAAATCCAGCATGCTAATAATAGGGCTGCACTTGGCAGCCACCAGTTATAGACTCACAAGAAATTAACAGCATAAATAATTTATTTAAAAATTTAATTGGGTTTATACAGGGTTAATCAGTATCAAATCATCACAAACGCAGAAAGTGGAATAAAGGGCTACCATGTAGTCATTAAGTTATATTACTGATGGTAATGTTTTTAAAATGTTGAATTACAATACTAACCAAAATTCAGTTCTATTTTTTTACAATTTAAAAATCATATTTCTTTTAAAGACTAAGATATTAAACATTTTATCAGCTCTAACTTTTTGTATCACAAGAGTGCAAGTGTTTGAAATTTCAGAAAAGTATCTGCAAACATTGGCCAATCTCTACAACATTTATTAATACACAATAATATAACATCAACTGTCATGCTGTAAATTAACTCCAATTCTTAAATTATTATCGGCTTTTAAAAATAACAAACAATTTTTTCACAAATACCGGCCTGTCGGTCCTTGAGTACACCGGCCCCACAGGCATTTGCGAGAACTGCCAGATGGACAGTCTGGGCATGCTTATTATTAGAAAGTAATACCTGTACTCATCTGAAAATGTTTCTCATACCATATTTGGAGGTTTGACACAAGGAACATGTTGATATTCTTCATTAGATTTTTGTGAAAACCTAAACCTCCTGATATATGTATATATACTTTTTGTTAGCTAAATATACTAATATTTAAAAATCTTCAAGAATAATTATTTTATTTGAAAGATAATGATAACTTGTTTACCCATTTCAATAAAACAGCAAATGTAATCAATGTCAAAACACTATCCACTCATTGTTTTTATTTGCTCTGATTTGTATGTGTTATGTATGACGTTACTGTGTTGTTAAGTCACATGAAGCCTCATCTTTCAACGAAACTTCGTGTGCAATTTCCATGGAATAGCCTAATTAGTTGTCCAATGATGGGAAAAACTGAATAAACCTAAACTGGCTAACTCTGAACACACTGTCACAAATATAGACAATAAACTGCCCCAAAAAACAAAAAGGGGGAAGCTGAGAAAATGAGAGAAAAAAAAACAAGACTCTGGAGACCAATGCCACTAAATGCGAGAAAATAACCGATTTGTTCTATAGCCTTCGACTAAGTAAAGGTAAGCCTATTCCTGGGCCTAGAAATGGAACACATCTGCTAAAAGGAAAAGGCTTCAAAACAAAATTATCAACAAGAGATAAATGTTCTTATTGAGGAAAGCAAGCCAGAACAGGAGGGAAAATATTGTTGGAAAAAAACAAAACTAGAAGTTCACCACCTAGACAAAATGTAGACTCTACATTCAACTACTTTGCTTGCCCTAATACAAATCAGCACACTACACTCTCCTGAATAAGTTGCCAAATAGTTTCTGTGACTGCATTAACTGTTGTTTTAGACAGCAATGTTATAAACGATCCTCTGCCCTTTCCTCCCGAGAAATGTAACATATTGCTTGTTTCTATGCATTCACTTATGTGTTCCTGCAGACAAATGTTGTACTTGCTAAGAAGCAGAACAAACTCAAATAAATTGCCATGATTTACAGAAATGTCCTCTAAAGTGTATGCAGCCTCTGATTTGTTTCCTCTGTGGCTAAGTCCACGCTTGCCTATCACTTTCACCCGCTCCAGTACTTGCCGTCTCTTTCGCACTTGTTCTTGGCGGACAGACATTTGATTAAAAAGTAGTAAACTGTTGATATCTGGGCTGTTGGCCTTCAAAAAGTACACTTCTGCACAAGCTCTGTGCATGATACTTTTTTCATATTCTTCTATTCTCTGATGGATATGCCTCCAATCTTTCATTCCTTCAATGAACGGATTTGTTTTGGAACTCTTAGAAAATGCCAGGCAGACTGAGCAAAATAAAGAATTTATTTCCTCACAGTACATCAGCCATTTGCAGTTTGTTCCATCCTTGTGATTGAAAGCTTTTTTTATCGTAAGATCACTGGTATTTTGATTTGGGTGTTAATTAAAAATCAAAGTGTGCTGATTTGTATTAGGGCAAGCAAAGTAGTTGAATGTAGAGTCTACATTTTGTGTAGGTGGTGAACTTCTAGTTTTGTTTTTTACAACAATATTTTCCCTCCTGTTCTGGCTTGCCAAGTGAAGTACGAGAAGCTGGAATGTTCTCAGTACAAACTGACACAACTCAGGATATCACATCAAAAGATCAGTGCTCAGTTATCGTTTAGTATGTAACAGATTGCATTCACGAGAAGCTGGAATGTTCTCAGTACAAACTGACACAACTCAGGATATCACATCAAAAGATCAGTGCTCAGTTATCGTTCAGTAAGTAACAGATTGCATTCACGAGAAGCTCCTTGCACTAGCAGATTGCGAATCGTCAGTTGGGGAATACTTGCTCCACTTGCTAATACAGGTTCTCAACTGGGGAATACTTGCTTCACTTGCTAATACAGGTTCTCAACTGGGGAATACTTGCTCCACTTGCTAATACAGGTTCTCAACTGGGGAATACTT